TGAGGCTGAGGCTGATACTCGGTGGTGTCTTAACTTTTCTACAAGTTCATCAATATTTGGGGTCAGGCTCTGAGCTGAGCAAATCCTCAAAATTGAGTGAGGGTGTTCAGCAGTAAATCGACTTCTGTGTGATGTTTTGTTCAGCTTCATCAAAGAAAATAGTTGTTCACACACGTATGTGCTGCCAAACTTTCGACAACGTTTGAGCAGCCTGGATGCGCAGCGGGGCCACTATGTCGGGGAGGAAAGGGGCAAACTGCGCAGCACGCACTGCCGTATCTTTGCAGAAACACTGCAATTGTGTTTCTGCTAATGCTCACGTTTAAAAAGAGTTGCTTTTTTTCGGGGCAAACTTCGTCACAAACTTTAAGTATACCGTTTTTAATGAAATCCCCCTTCCCCCTCCATGTCCATGTTTTTTGTTTTTGTTCGCGTGTTTCGTTTCATGATGTCGTCTCAGATTACACTCTTTCAATAGCGCCACACTTTCTCCGCACAGAAGACAAACAAGTTTTCCAGCTACGTCCATGAACATGTACTTCGACCCCCACCTTGTTGGAAACCCCCGGTTCTCAGTGTCCACCTTCCGTTTTGCAATTTTTGATGGGTATCTGAAAGCTAATGTCGCTGTTATGGGAACGACTGCTAGACTAATAAATATTTAAATAAAGCGGCCGACTGCTTGGCGCGTCGCCATTGCATTGTGGGAAATATAGTATTGGTGCGTGTAAAAGATCTGCGGGCTCTCAGCTTGCTGCGGGCCGGTTCTAATAATAAATCAATATCATCCCAGGGGCCACTGAAAACATTCTCGCGGGCCGGCACTTTGACATAGGTGCACTAGTGCAAACAAACACAAAAAAGACGTGCATCCATTATATATTTTTAATATGCTATACACGGAATCATACATGCTTCGTTTGGCTGATTGATGTGTGTCTTTTTGCTCATCTTGCTGTGTATTAGTTTCCCTCTAGTTTTCTCTGCTGTAATCAGTGATGAAAGTCTTCGGGATTTTCAAATGTTGATGAAAATTTCTCCGGAGAATTGAGGAAAATTTGCCTAAAATTAATCCGGATATTAGTTGACAACATTGAACGAACACGCGTTTGAGTTCGTTGTTTTGCTTTCACGAGCGTAGCCATGGTGAGGCACTAACACTAGTGACAGTAAAGAGATTTTCATCTCTTTATAAACACACTTGCTAAACTCCAGTGGAACGAATAAAAGACGCCGTGGACAAGACAGTTGTTGTCGTAAGAAAATATATATTTGGACAAAAAGGGAAACACAGATTGGCAGAAAATCGTGTCCGTCCGTCTTCGAGTGTCGTCTCGGCTAGCTTAGCTTAGCTGTTGTCGTATGTCGTGTGTGACGTCGGTTGCGTCGGCGCTGATTGGTTGAAATCAAAAGACGCGCTTGCGTACATGTTTGCGCTGACGCACGCACAGCAGAGTGGCGGACTTTCTACTGCTGAGGCGCGCTTCGCTCTCGAGTGGCGTCGCCACAACAGTAATACCCTCGTCTCGCCATCTCACCTCACCATATCTTGGAGTTTTCAAAATTTCGGCGAGATTGGAAGCCGCAATGGGTGCACGTGTGCACGCAAAAGGATGATTAATCTTTGAACTTCGAGTTTGAATAGCGTTTTGTGTAAACTAATTCATGCGTGATCGGCCAGGTGTATGTGGGTGAGGCTCTTTGCAGTAACACATTAAAAGAATTGTCTCTTTATTTCTTTATTTGTTTGTTTTCTTTCTTTCTTCCTTTCTTTCTTTCTTTCCTTCCCCAGAATTTTCAGGAAAGTCCACTTTCATCTCTGTGTAATATGGTTCCAGCCAGACTTAAAAATGCACCATGGTTTCTCCGTCTTCTCCTGTTTTGTCTTGCTTGGTGTGTTGTATGATTAGTCACTCCCTGTTCTCCTTTAGTGATAACAATTCTTGGCAGAAGTGTAGCTTATTTGCCACCACAGAGACGAGGATTAGTGATTTAGAGGAGCGGTCCGAACCACATAAGGACAGTGTTTATCCACGCTGGCTAGCCAGGGCAAATTTCATTTTTAAGGACAATGAAATTGCTTCATCAATGAGGTTCTGCACACCGGCAAGTGAAATATTGAACAGTGGGAGGGAGACTCATCTTCAGCAAGCATGCATCTTGACGTGCAAGTTGGATGTGTGATCTTTGACATTGTCCTGCAGGTTACCATGCAGTGCCAGAAAACAACGCAGCCGTCACCAATAGCCGACCGTACCATGAGTTTGCTGTGCCTCAGCACCCAGGTAGGGATGGCACATACTAAAAGAAGTCACCAATGACTAAAATGGCAACTGACAAAGTGATTGGGCCATATGGAAAATACTTTGAGGAAGTGTAAATATGCCCAAATACGTTTTGTTCATATTGCCGCTGTCCAGTGAGTGCGCGTGGAACGCCCTTTTTGTCAAGGAGCAATAAAACACTAAGTAGATAGAAATGATTTCTCTCTGATGTTTTTTACAGTTGTTGCTGTATATTGTATTCACCATTTTAATTGTTGCTTGTTCCCCTCGGTGTGTGTCGCAAGATAGTTTGAGCACATTTTTTTCACATAGGAAGATATGGAAATGAATCTGTTGAGGGTCACACTGTCAAACTTTTTTATTTTCAGGACTGGCTCACATCAGAGGCGGCATCACAGGAAAACGCGAACGGGAAATGGAACGTGAATGTTCGGGGGAGGAAGATCCGTCATCTTGCTCAGGCCACAAGATGCAGAGGCACAGTGCAGAGGTCAGTTGCGAGAGTGCAGGCCTACGCCAAGGCTTTTAAACATTTGTCACATGTGACATCAGTGACTGAACATTGATTGCCACGTGGGATCCGAGGAGCTAAATGGAGGTTTCATTGGATTCTGCACAAACAAATGACAACCTGATCAGATGACTATTAAGATAGACCGAATGTTTTTCAACAATGTTCTTTTGTACAGTTACATCAGGGCTGCCACTTTGTTTGTTTGTCTGATCTAAGCAGGTTCTGTAGTTCAAAACTTTAACAGAATATCTGCAAACAGAGGGGAGCTATTTTACTATTGACAACTTTGCGATTTGGTCGCTATTTTTAAATCCTAAACAATACAACAAGATGACGATTCATACAAACCAACAAGTTGTTCCATCCATTACAAAAAAAAAAAAAAACCCACGTTGAATATCAGAGTATTTGAATATGTGTAAGGGGCTGTGGTTGTTGCTGTGCCAACAAATATTTATGGCCAGGCCACCAACCACTTTAGGGAGGGGGAGGTGCTGGGGGCGGGGCTTCTATGCAAATGTGCTGTTGCTGTGCTCACAGCGAAAGATTCAAAACACTAACTATGCAAAACTGTGGTGGTGTTCACTCATGGAATCCATCAGTAAAAGGAAAGAGGACTCATTTTCAGTTCCAAAACGTTTGCATTTCACTAACCATGCCGAATGAATGTACGGGGTTTGTTGGTCTAAAATGAACACGTATCTTCTTCCCATCCCACGTACCGTAGCAGGATGCAAACGATAATGATTAAAGGAATCCTCAGACGCATTTGTCTTCAGGATACATTTATCCTCAATTTAAATGTTTTTGTACCTAGGAAAAAAAAACATGAAAGAGACATAACAATATGCAACCTTTTAATATCTGTTATGTTTACATTGGCATTAGTTAGCTAATACTGCACTGTACTACGATAGTAAGGTGTCACCAATGTGGTGCCCGTGGGCACCAGGTAGCCCTCAGGGGACCATATGAGTAGCCTGTGGGCCCGTTCTAATAATAGCTCACCAGTGATGGGACATTTTCTCGGAATGTTGTAGAAGTGATCGTTTGGCAAGGTAAACAATGGCAGCAATTTATAAAAATACAGTGTTGTCTATTGATAGTTATCTGTTTTGTAATTCTTGTGAGAAACGATCACCATGATCAGTGTCTTCTCATTAATTATGAATAATAACGTGCAAAGGTAATTTGAGCAAATTTGTTATTTTAGAGTTGTATACTATCAAACTGGTAGATAGACCTTGGCATTAATCGGTACCCCAGAAGTAGCTCCCAGTTTCAAAAAGGTTTGCTAATAATAATAATAATAATAACAATAATAATCATAATCATAATAATAATAATAATACATTTTATTTATAAGCGCCTTTCAAAATACCCAAGGACACTTTACAATCAAAAGAGCAATAAAACCACAGATAAAATTATAAATCATAAAAGCGATGAGTTTAAACTGTGTATGCAATTTTAAATAGGTGGATTTTAAGATGAGTTTTGAATATAGGAAGAGAGTCAATATTTCGGATGTCGGGTGGGAGTGAGTTCCAGAGTTTGGGGGCAGAGCGGCTGAAAGCTCTGCACCCCATCGTGCTGAGACGGGCAGAGGGTACACAGAGGTGGAGGGAGGCTGAGGACCTAAGGGAGCGAGACGGAACAGAAATTTGAAGAAGGTCCGACAGATAGGTTGGGGGGCAAGGTTATGGGGGCAATCCCTGGTCTATTCGAAATAGAAAAATAGAAATAAAATAAGGTTGATGAAAAAAGAAAAACTGGAATATTCATGTCGTTAATTTCAAACTAACGGTGTCAAAATCAGTGTTATACAACCCTCATATTCATGGTATAACTGTAAACGTACAACCAAAGACGTTTCCAGGGCAAGAACAGGAAAGAAATAAAAATCCTGCTGGAGCTGTGACAAAATGCCCCAGGCTAACATATCGGCAGCAAGTACAGTGTATCGTTAAATTTCAGTGGCAGAAAAACTCTGAAATATTAGATTAAAAAAAAAAAGTCTTCCACGATGACATATTCCTGTGAAAAATATATATATATATAGTACATGATACACAGCAGGCAGGGGGTCAGTCACCAACCTTTTTAAACCCGAGAGCAACTTTTGGGGTAATGGTCAATACAAAAGTCCAACAGTTTCATACACACTTCTAAAATAACAAATTTGCTCAAATTATATTTAATTATATCCCTAATAAATGATGCTAATCATTTTGTGATGACAACGATCATGTTAATGATTAATCACAATAATTAAGAAACAGATACAATGTGCAGCTCCGAAAATTTTAGGAAACCTTTTTTTTTTATTTATTTTTTTTTTAATTTAATGCTGAGCCACTCCATTTTTGCCCATTGGATCAGTACATGGCTAGAACAATGCCTTTTTGAGTCTTCAAATTTTTCTTGTGTTGCTTTGTGTCCTACAGACCACCTAAAAGGACGTCACACAAGAAGAAGTCGACATTGGTCCACTGTAACACACATTCTCAGTCAAAAACTGCCAGGGTGAACACAAAGGTGAAAATGTGATTCAAGGCTCAGATTTTCCAAGGGAGTGTGGCGACCTCTGACCTCAGTCATTTTCAGACCCGCAAAAAATATCAACAAACAAAACACATCTATTTATTTGCAATAAAAGTACAGCAAAAAAAAAAAAAAAAGACAACCCTAGCAAATGTGCCCATAATTATCTTCATTTATGGGAGTACCAAGTCACCATTTTTTGCTGCGCCTTATCAATATTTATGTACATAAAATACTTTTTCACGTCTATGATCTTGGCAGCTACCAGCAATATTGGGTTACATAGGATGATGTGTTTGTGTAGTTTGGCTCATCTGATCGAATGAAAAATTAGACATGCCAGGTATTGATACACAACTGTCTACAGAACCCCAAACAATTTTTTTCTAAACCCTTTCAAAAAGTCATGAACAATTAGCTTTTGCCACCTCCCGGTGATGTCACTTTTTTTCAAGTGAGTATTTTATGGATCTTTGCCCTGTCACATTTCCAACTCGGTGGTTCCCCTGATGTTGTCACTTAAACGTTCTGAAGACCAGTGACACTTGAGCCTGTGCACCATTTTCATCAACACAAAACTGTTCACAGACCCCCACTTGTTAAGATGTTTTCAAGGACAAGGATCATCTCCAAGGTTCCCTTTTTTCTACTGTTTCATAATAAAACAACCAAAAAAAAAAAAGAGAGAAAAATAGACAAATTGTGCTTGAAACAAACATTCCTCACAATCAAGTCCAGCCTCCCGATGAAGGACGACAACAGCGCAAGGTGTGACTATTGATATCTCGAGTGTGTTCCAAACTGACACTGTAGGAATGGTGCCAGAATCCAACCAATAGCAAACCTGGCTGACATTGGCGACCTGGATGCTCTGTGGATACATCGGAAAGTCCGCTGCTGTGGTTCGGAATCGAACCCAAGGACATGCACATCTGCCCCCACCCTCAACCCCCGCCCCCATGTTTGATGCAAGATGATGTTTATGCTCCACAAAACACGCTTCATGATCATTCAAAAGGACACTTCAACAGGTCTGCTCTGCGCCCCAATCTGCAGCCACCTGGGGCGGGGGATACATTGGATTCAATGGCCCGCCCCTACAATGAGACTTGACGTGCAGAACACGCATCAGACTTGTATTTGGATCACGGATCAGCTTCAGTGTGTCTGTAACAATACCCCAGAGGCCAACATGGGACATAAGTCTTATTGCGTTCTTCAAATCAAGTGTTTTCTTCATGGCGCTTTTCTTAGTATCGAAACCCGATTGTTTTGTTGATAACCTATAGATATGATAATGCTACATACTGCATATCATATCCTTAGTCATACAAAATGTTCAACACAGAATGTTTCACCCTGCATCGCATTTTTTACTTACGGTTTGTTTCAGTTTTATCCCAAAAAAATGCAGATTGGGGCAGCAGCAGATCATGTTGCGATTTCTAGAGACTTTTTTGGGGGGAGGAGGGGGGGGTTGTCGAACTATTGTGTACTATCTGTATCATAATTCTTCTTGAGAATTTAAACAGATTTTGTAGCTTTAATTGCATTGAAAGAGAAAGTCAATGTTTTTTCTTTTAGTTTTGTCATCCCGCAGCCCAGTATCACACAACGGTGGAGGAATGACAGACGCGTCCATTTCATTTCCCCAGTTGACTCAGTGTCTCGCCTGAAATGGGGCTGGGGCGTGGCGCGAAATTCCTCTGCCGATGCCATCGACTGTGTCCGTAAACTGGTGCTTGTTCTCTGTCCTGCTTTGTGATGTGAAAGGCCTTGTTTGTTTGTAATTGATCGCTATCATGACAGCAAATAAAAACGGTTTCGGCGCGGCATGCTTTCCTTTGAATTATTTTACGAATGTTGGCACCATCTGCGATTGGCTGACAACCAGTTCGTGTACCCCGCCTACTGCCCGAAAACGGCATCATCCAGCAATGCAAATGCCGTATCGGGAACCTATTTAGAAAAAGCAGAATTGGTATTCAAGGCCTCAATTGGCAGTTTTTGGTCATGTATTTTTCTGCCGTGTTGGAGGTTGAGATCGGAAAGTAAAGCTTGGTTTGAAATGGAAGGAGGAAAAGAGCAGTACATTGTGGCAGTCGGAAGGAGCACACGTGATTGACTGTAGAACACGTCTTTATTCCACGATCTGAACAGTTCCAACTTTGCACCTAAAACATTCACATAACCATGCCCCCTACTACATGCCTGCTGGATGAGAAGCATGGTCCTAGTGTCCCCCCTACAGCGCCCCCCCCCGCCCCCCGAACACCCAGAAGGGCAATCAAAATGACAACTTCACCGGTGGTCTTATTAGCCTGCCACAACGACTACGCAGTCCGTCTTCTGGTGGCGCAGGTGAGACAAG